CCCCCCCCCAAAACCCCAACTAAAACCAACAAACATAATCCAGGTTAGATTTTTTTGTGTGTGTGTGTTGATAGTCCTATAATGTTTTAAATCCAGCACAGTTAAGTTAATGTGCTCAGCCTCAGTATTTTGCAATTACAGTGTATTTTGACTGGTAGGTAGGCAGTCTTTGGCTGTGAACGCAAGTTTAAGAATGGGTTTAGATGATATTAAACAATGAAGTATGATGTCCTCAAACATACAGCGTGTAGAGAGCTAACAGCAAGGAGAAGAAAAACTTCTGTCAGACTAGTATCTTCAATATAAATTAGTTGCATATTCATATAGATGGCTTTGCAATCTGATTCCCTATGATGTTTTCAAACTACAAACATTTTTGTAGCTGGTCCAGTAGGTGGAGACAGAGTTCTTATCAATGTAACCTGAAGATGTGCAAAAAATGCTCATCTAAGTACTTTTTTTTTTTTTTTTTGCAAATAGACATTACTGGGTTTAAATTCTTGTTGATTTGCATTTATTTTTTCAATTTTACTAAATAAAAGTTAATGCTACTCTTGCTTCTGATGATATTTATTTACTATTCCGTACTGCACTTAAATGTCCATATCTACTAGTACTGGTGATAATGGTTTGGGAAGATTAGATTTTCAACTGGAACACTCTTATGTTTTGTCTGAGCTTACAGAGATTCATCTATGTTAAATTAATAGTTGGTGTCACTTTGTCGCTTGATGTGTAAATTAGACTGATTAATAAGGTTTTACTCTTTTTTTCCTTTAGCTTTTGCAGCAGCAAATTAAATAAGGGCATGTCAAAGTGCTATGAGCAGACCAAGTAATAGGTCAATTTTCATCAACTTTTCTAGAGGAATTAATCTTTTGTAATTACTTGATTTAATTTTCTAATCTATTAAAAAAAAAAAAATGCATCTCTGTGAAGTGCTACATATTCCACATTTTAGTAGTTATGACTTTTTTCCCCTGATGCTAATATGCCAGCATCACTTCAACATGTGTAATTTATGATTCCTTAGCTATATAAGCTGTAGTTGAGTTTGTCTTTCTCATTAGACAGCGTAAGGTGTCAGTGTCAGATGATGAGAGGCACACTCCTTTAAATAAATAGTGTGTTCAGTGTAGTGGTACATTAAGTGTTGTAAAAAAAAATATATATTTAGCAAATGAAGCAGAAGAGTAATACTTTTTAAAATAAAGTTGAAAAGCCTTTCTGTCATGTTCTTATAACATTTGTATTTGTTCAATTTACCTGTGTCTTTTAGATTTAGATGATGATAAACTTTTTATTGCTAATGAGTAGAAAAGTGCTGAAGTAATAACATTGTTTTCAGATTATCTGTGGTGGAATGCTGAGGATACAAAGAGATACAAAAAAATGGACAGTCTGTGCTCTGCCTTCTTCCCATCTCTGTCTGCTAGCTGACCTCATTTAAAGCAAAGATGTATTTTAAAAGTTAGAAAATTAAAAGCCTTGATTTAGTAGGTAATCTTGGAGTCTACAAATTTAGCTTTTATTTCTGGCTTCTAGAATAGGAGCTGTTAAGCTGCTGATGTATTGCATCAGGAGTGTTGACCCTTCCATAAGAGTGATCTGAAAGCCTTACAGAGTTGGATTTTGTAATTCAGTTTAGGGGAAATCACTGGAAAATGCTTATAATG